TAGTTCTGTCTTAATTATTAAAGTTGGCTGGTAAGTTTGGGCCAATCCCCAGGAGAAATTCTAGTTCTGTCTTAATTATTAAAGTTGGCTGGTAAGTTTGGGCCAATCCCCAGGAGGCTGTGAATTCTAGTTCCACCCCAGACATGAAAGCCAGCTGGGGACTTCGGCCCATTTAGCAAGAGACTGTGAATTCCAGTTCTGTCTTAAGCATGAAAATTGTCTGGGTGACTTTGGACCAATCGCCAGGAGACAGTGAGTTCTAGTCCCGCTTTAGGCATGAAAGCCAGCTGGGGACTTCGGCCCATTTAGCAAGAGACTGTGAATTCCAGTTCTGTCTTAAGCATGAAAATTGTCTGGGTGACTTTGGACCAATCGCCAGGAGACAGTGAGTTCTAGTCCCGCTTTAGGCATGAAAGCCAGCTGGGGACTTCGGCCCATTTAGCAAGAGACTGTGAATTCCAGTTCTGTCTTAAGCATGAAAATTGTCTGGGTGACTTTGGACCAATCGCCAGGAGACAGTGAGTTCTAGTCCCGCTTTAGGCATGAAAGCCAGCTGGGTGACTTTGGACCAATCGCCAGGGGACTGAATTCTAATTCTGCCTTAAGCATGAAAGCCATCAAGGTGACTTTGAGCCAATCACCAGGAGACGGTGAGTTCTAGTTCCTCCCAAGAGAGGAAAAAAACCAGCTGGGTGAAGCTGAACCAATATTGGAGGAGGGGGGGAAACCAGTGGAACAGCACCAGCTTGCTTAACACAAAAAAGAACATCGGTGTGCTGTTCCACTAACATCCTAGCCCACCCGGGAGATAAGCCAGGCCTTCATACCAAACCAGAGTGCAATAAGTACAATATTTGTCGGAGAGACAAGTTCTCAGAGTGGAACACCAGCTGGGAACTGTAAATCAGCTCATTCTGTTTCCAGGTTTCAAACATTTGAATCTTTCCATATGTTGTCTTCTACCTTACTAATTTTCTTCCTGGTCTTCAAAAGTCATTGACTCCAAAGAAGTTTTTACAGCTAGTCTTTGACTTATAACCATTCATTTAGTGACTATTCGAAGTCAAAACCGCACAGAAAGAAGTGGCTTATGGCCATTTTTCACACTTACGACTGTTCTGACCCAGCTCCCCGACCACGACAAACTCTCTGAAGTTAACTCAAAGATTCCTTTAATTAGGAGCGCCAGCAGCCCCGGCAAAAAGTTTCTCTCTTACTGCAGGCTAAGAAGTCTGTCCGTCCGGGAGATGAATAGTTGTCTGTCCCATCTATTCATCTCCGCCCCCTGCCTTTTATTCCCAGAGCTAGGGTGGGGCTTCGCTAGCAGCGGTGACTCTTCCGTCCCAAGGACCGGCCCATAGATTTCCACTGCTCTCCTCTCCTCTGCCTTCTGTGCATCCAAGCATCAGGCATTGGACCCAGCTGTTCCTCCTCCTCTTCCTCCAGACCTGGGGGCTGTTGACTCCCCATCTGAGGGCTGATGGATGGCCCAGTCTCTGGCTCTGTGTGTGTGTGTGTGTCTCTCTCTCTCTCTCTGTCTCTGTCTGTCTGTCTCTCTCTCTCTCTCTCTGTGTCTCTGTCTTTTTTTGTGTGTGTGTCTGTCTTTGCCTTTGTGTGTGTGTGTGTGTGTCTTTGCCTCTCTCTCTCTGTCTCAGTCTTTGTGTGTGTTTGTCTCTGTGTTTGTGTGTGTGTGTGTGTGTGTGTCTGTCTTTGTGTGTATGTGTCTCTATCACTCTGTTTTTGTCTCTCTCTCTCCCTTTCTCTCTCTGTCTCAGTCTTTGTGTGTATGTGTCTCTCTCTCTCTGTCTTTGTCTCTCTCTGTCTCTCTGTCTCTCTCGGCAACTGACTGCCACTAAGGGAACAGTTGTAAGTCGAGGACTACCTGCAAGAAAGTTGTTAAGTGAGTCTGGCTTCCCTGTTGATTTTTTTTTTTGTTTGAAGGTCGCAAAAGGAGAACACATGACCTCCGTCACAATTACATGCCAGTTGCCAAGCCTCCAAATTTTGATCACAAAGCAACGAGAACGCCGCGTCAGACGTTAAGTGTGAAAACCGGTCACAAGCCGCTTTTGAAACTGCAAATGGTCATTGAAGGAATGTTCATAAGTGGAGGATTATCTGTCTTTCAGAAAAATGAAGTCTAAAGGCATATTTCGCACACATACACACCCCTTCCTAGACAGTAGAGTAGTGAAACGTGAATGCTGTTGGCGGAAAGCTGTAATTCCTCTGCTTGAACTGGCTGCTCAGAACATTCCAGAAATGGTTTCTACATTTCCGGAAATAGGATTTTTGGGGGCTGGAAGTGGGAATCAGAGTCTCCCAAGATTAGAAGAACCACATCCGGTAGTTTACTTTGCAAAAATGTCTCAGCCACCCTCGAGAAACACTCTGGAGAAAACATGTCCATGAAGGGGCTTATTTATTTTTGCACAAAACTACACTTGTATTTGGATTCACACCCAGCCTCCTTTTTTTGTGTTTTAGGCGTGCCTTGCACGTTACAACTAGCAAGCCGTATTAACCCCCGATTGACACACACACACACACACCCATTAACCATCATATTTTGGTTGCGAGGGCTGTTCGCTTGGCATATAAACCAATGCTTTTCAATCCCAGGCACTTCAAGAGAGGTGGACTCCAACTCCCAGAATTCCCTAGCCCGGCGCGCAGCCTAGAGAATTCTAGGAGTCGAAGTCCGTCCCCTCATCTTAAAAATTGCTGAGGTTGAGAAACGCTGACATAATATCGTATTTTCCGGAGTATAAGACGCTCCGGAGTATAAGACGCACCTAGTTTTTTGGGAGGAGAACAAGGAGAAAATATCTGCCTCTGCCTCCCAGCAATTTGCCTCCTTGCAACAAACAGCAAACAGTACAGACAATGTACACTGTTTGTAGCGTTACATTTCAGACTATGCTTGTACGGATGCTGTTAAAATTGATGTGGCTTTCTGGAAGTCTACGTTATTCTCTGCTATTTTAAAAAAAACACAATAGCACTGGGCCTCTTCAGATCAAGCATTTATTTTTAAAAAAACTTCTTCATTTTGTTAAGCGGTCTAGAACAATAATAAAGCGGTCTTTAAAAAATAAGTCTAACAATTTGAACATTCTGTAGGCATTTATAGTTATTGACTTGCCTCCTTGCAGCCTGTTTCAGTTTAACCCGATTAGCACAAGAAAAAAAAAAATCTGCCTCTGCCTCCCAGCATTTTGCCTTGTAGAGGAAACAGCAAATTTCATTTTCAGCCTGGTCCTCCCGACGATCAGCTGTTTCAGGCTGCAGGGATTGCCATAGCCTATTGCAGCCTCTGCAAGCCCCATTTTCCCATTTGCTGCAAGGAGGTAAATTGCTGGGAGGAAGAGGCCAAAGGGTGGGGGACGGTGGATGGGTGGGTGGGGCTCCATTCGGTGTATAAGACGCACCCAAAATTTCACCCTCTGTTAGTGGGGAAAACGTGCGTCTTATACTCCGAAAAATACGGTAATTTATTTAGGCAGGGTGGGAATTGGCCCTTCCTCCAATGATCAGAACCCGTAATCCTTATGGCGGACGTCCCGATTATAGCTAGTTCTCAACTTATGACCATTTGTTTAGCGACCATTGGAACTTAAAACGGCATGGTAAAAAGCGACTTACGGCGGCTTTTCATACTTATGACCACTGCAGCATCCTCATGATCTTGCAATGCAAATTTGGAGGCTTGGTAACTGACTCATATTTACGTCGGTTACAGTGACCCCGGGGGTCACGTGCTCCCCTTTTACAACTATCCGACAAGCAAAGCCAATGGGGAAGCCGGATTGACTTAACAGCCCTGTTGCTAACTTAACCAGCGCAGTGCTTCACTTAACAACGGTGGCAAGAAATGTCATCAAATGCGGCCAAACTTAATAACATAGCAAGGGGAAATCTTGGGCTCTACGGTGGTCATAAGTCGAAGACTATCTGTATTCATGATGGCCACAGGGTCACGGGGCCCCCTCTTGCAGCTGTCCGACAAGCAACGGGGAAGCCAGATTCACTTAACGACCAAGTGATACAACTTAACTGCCTCGTGTAGCGATGGGAATTTTGAGTTCAATTATGGTTGTCCGTGGAGTCTTTATTGCCTTATGGATTCCTTTCAGTTGTGCATGATTTTGAAACTTCGAAGGAGATAACCTCAAGTTTTAAGATTCGGTAGTTCCATCAGTGGGGTAGGAGGAAAAGGAGGAAAATATTTATTTATTAATTATTATGGCTGGCCATCGCACCGGTGCATCTCTGGGCAACAGCAGCAAGAAATAAAAATACATAAAGACTGATTTTATTGCTGTGGCCAGATTTCTCATAAACTCCCAACCATGTTAGGAGAGCCAAAAAATGGGAGCACATAACATTTTCAGTGCTCAAAGGGAATGGGGTTTGCAGGGAGGAGGAGGAGGAGGTGAGCAGGAGGAAGAGAGAGGAGGACAGGAAAAGGAGGAGGAGGCGGGAGGAGGAGGAAAGGAAAAGAGGAAGAAAGGACAGGAAAAAGAGGAGAGAAGAAGAGAAGGAAGAGGAAAAGAGGGAGGAAGAGGAAAACAGGAAAAGGAAGTGGGGGAGGAGGAGCAGGAGGAAAAGAAAAGGAGGAGAAGGAAGGGAAAAGGAGAGGGAGAGGAGAAGAAGGGCATAGGAAATGAAGATGATAAGATGATAGAGGAGGAGGAGGAGGAGAGGAGAAAGAAGAGGAAGAGAAGGACCTTGATGCTATCAGAGCTGGATTATTTTTTTGCAGCCATTTCATGACCCAACTAGGTAACATCATCAGTGCTAGAAAGGAGTGGGGTTTGTTCTTTGTTTATATACAGTGTCTTGCCTTGACATAGTTGGTGGGAGTGTTCGTTTCTTCTTGGCAGTTCCTTGATTCAGCTGTTTTACTGTATTGGTTATTTGCCTGAGTTGGTTCTTGATTGGGGATTGTTTCGAGCAGCAGGAACTGTTTCAGAAGACTAAATTAAGTCAGTTGGGTTTTGCAAAGCCCAAATCAATTCAGCTTAAAGCATGCTTGTTTTTCTTCAGTTGAAATTGTTTAAAAATACTGATTCTCTTGGTCTCTGGATCATGAGAGCAGCGTGAGATTTGGATACCCAAGACTAAAACTAAGCCAAAATACAAAATACACTTACAAATGCAAATCTTTACAAATGCAATGGCAGAGTTGGAAGGGACCTTGGAGGTCTTCTAGTCCAACCCCCTGCCTAGGCAGGAAACCCTATACCGTTCCAGACAAATGGCTATCCAACATCTTCTTAAAGACTTCCAGCGTTGGGGCATTCACAACTTCTGTTTATTATTNTCTCTCTTCCTCTCTCGCACTCACTTTCTCCCTCTCTCTTTCTCTCTCTCTCTCTCTTTCTTTCTCCCTTCCTCTCTCTCTCTTTCGCTTTCTCTCTCTCTCTTCCTCTCTCTCTCTCTCTCACACACACACACCAGCTTTTGCTTTTACCTGTCTCTACAAGCCTGTCTTCTTTTCTCTCTCTCTTTCTCTCCATCCCCACCCCGCTTTCTTCTTTTCCTCCTTCGTTCCCCCGAGGTAGAGCCTCCACGTCCAGGGGCAGTCTACCCTGCAACCTGCCTTAGCCCCACGAGCAAAGGCGTTTTCTGGATTTCTTTTAAAACATTCTTTTTTAAAAAGAGGAATCTAAGCCGGAGTGGCAGCCTCCTCCCCCGCCAAAAAAAAAATAACTGCCCCGGAGGAAGCCAAGCAAGCAACAGGCGCCGCGCCCGTCCCGTAAAAGGGGGAGGATCTCGCACCCAGACCCCGCAGTGGAAGCCCCTCGGAGCTTCCCTCCAGCCCACCCCACTCCCCGCCGCCCCTCTCCCCTCCATCCCGGCGGGGCCCCTGACCTGCCGTCCCCTCGGTCGCCTCTGCCCGCCCCGTCGGTCACTCCTGGCTCGGCGGCGGCGAGAGCTGCAGCCATAGTCGCTCCGATCAGCTGTTGAGAAGCCAGGCAGCGAGAGAGGGGCGGAGCCGCGTCCCGCCCCGCGGCATTCTGGGACGCGTAGTCCTCCCGCGGAGAGAAAAGCCCTTCTGGTCGGCGGGGAGAGGCGGCTCGGTGGACTACGCGGCCCAAGGAGCTTCGCGGCCTCTGGCCTGACGGGAGTTGTAGTCTTGCGGGCCCTCGCTGGGGAAGGCGGGTCGGCGCCGAGGAAAGGAAAGCGAAAGGAGGGCGTTGCCTCTTAACGACCCGCTTAACGACCGTGTCTCGCATTTGCGGGATTGGGACGGCCAAGAAAGCGAGTAAAACATAGTCCCCGACTTACAACAGTTTGTTTAGTGACCGTTCAAGGCATATTGGGAATGGAAAACAGCTAGGGAGTAAAATATAGACTGATAGACAAAATAGGGAATGATAATTTGGATTAACTATAGCAGTTAGACTTATATACCGCTTCATAGGGCTTTCAGCCCTCTCTAAGCGGTTTACAGAGTCAGCATATTGCCCCCAACAACAATCCGNAGCAGATTTCTTTATTGTTCCTCACCCATGGACAGAATCTTGCCAAATTAAAGTATGCTAACATCCCCATAAAGTATGTACTGTGGGAACTATTAGGGAGGCGCCATCTTCACCTCCTTTCTATCACACAAACTATCTGGACTGAACTGTCTCTTGAGTCTCTGGAACGCAGTCTCTCCCTTCTGGGAATCCGAAGAAGGAAGGAAGGAAGAAAAGGAAGGGAGGGAGGATGCTCCCCAAATCAAGAAAGACACAATGTGATTCTTCCTAGCAGATTTCTTTATTGTTCACCCATAGACAGAATCTTGCCAAACTAAAGCACGCTAACTAACTTTATGGGGACTAAAGCATCCCCATAAAGTATTTACTCTGGGAACTATTAGGGAGGTGCCACCTTCACCTTCATTCTCTCACACAAACTATCTGGACTGAACTGTCTCTTGCTTCTCTGGAATGCAGCCCCTCCGTCCTAGGGATCTGAAGAAGGAAGGAAGGGAAGGAAGGAAGGAAAGGAGGGAGGGAGGAGGCTCTCCCAATCAAGAAAGACACAATGTGATTCTTGCTAGCAGATTTCTTTATGGTATCTCACCCATAGACAGAATCTTGCCAAACTAAAGCATGCTAACATCCCCATAAAGTATTTACTCTGGGAACTATTAGGGAGGCGCCATCTTCACCTTCATTCTCTCACACAAACTATCTTGACTGTCTCTTGCTCCTCTGGAATGCAGCCCCACCCTCCTAGGAATTCAGACTACATTCCATCACATTTATTTTTGCCTGCATGAGGGGTGTGTGTGTGTGTGTGTGTGTGTATGTGTTTTATGATAAACATCTGCTGGGGAGTCACAGGGAGGTTAATCCATGTGACGAATTACTCATTACAATTTCCAACTCAAATTTAAAGAGCTTAATTCAAATAGAGCTTTGGAAACATCTTATAAAAATAGATCATTCTAAAGTTTCAGCTAGAATTCAATACTATTTTTTTTAAAAAAAACTCTACCTCGACTGATGATTACCATGCAAATTAATTCACTAACAGGACTGGGAATCACAACCACATACTGGGAAAAACAGTTGTGCAAATGCACTTGCTCTAATAAGCCAAGAACAACCACGTGTGTCTTTTACACAACTACTGTTTTAATAGAATAAATAGAATAGAATATGGGCCGTGTGATGGGAGACACAAGGAAATTCGTCTCTTTGCGACACGTTCAAAGGAATTTTAACACTGACATGTGTTTATTCCTAACCAGCAATAAATCCATCCTTGCCGACAAGTTTTAATAATAGTTATTTCTGCAGGAATAAAATTATGGACATATTGGTTGACCCCAAGCTGATAAAAATAATGTAGCTATTCTTTTTTCAATTGTGTTGACTAAAGGAGGAGGACCACGGCATTCCGGAAACAGACATTTCCAATAATTCAGAAAAATAAAGCAATTACGTGAATGCCACATAATAAAATGTGCTCGTGTTTCGTACTTTTTCCAGATTTGTACAATAGTCTGAACTGCCAGTTTTGGATTCCCAAGTCAACGCAACAAGAAAGGACGGCTGCTCCTACAAATACATCAGCCTGAACTGCCTTTAACTGCGCAGGAGGCAGTTACGCGACTCTGGAGGGAAATATAATGTTTTAGGGAAGTATTTGTGTTCACTGGAGATCTCAAAGCAGCCTTTTCCCTTGGGACTTGGCGCATCACGCAACATTATGATGAACCAAACAGAAATAGGATAAAGTTGGACACCACAGTAAGATTGTCAATAGAATAGCAGAGTTGGAAGGGACCTTGGAGGTCATCCAGTCCAGCCCCCTGCTTAGGCAGGAAACCCTACAGCACTTCAGACAAATGGTTATCCAACATCTTCTTAAAGACTTCAAGGGTTGGAGCAGTTTACAACTTCGGGAGGCAATTTCTCCAGAGATTAATTGTTCTGTCAGGAAATTTCTCCTCCGTTCTGAATTGCTTCTCTCCTTGATTAATTTCCACCCATTGCTTCTAGAGCTGAGGTGGTGCACTGTAGGCTACTTCAACTGACTGCAGTTCTGCAGTTCGGCTGTTCAAATCTCACTGGATCAAGGTTGACTCAGCCTTCCATCCTTCCGAGGTGGGTGAAATGAGGACCCAGACCGTGGGGGCGATATGCTGACTCTGTAAACCACTTAGAGAGGGCTGAAAGCCCTATGAAGNATAAAATTTATAAAGCAGAGTTACAGCAAACCCCTACCGCCCACCATGAAAGCTGGAATGCCCACTAGTGGGCGGTAGGGACCAGGTTGACTACCTTTGATATAGAATAACAGAGTTGGAAGGGAACTTGGTGGTCTTCTAGTCCAACCCCCTGCTTAGGCAGGAAACCTTACACCACTTCAGACAAATCGTTATCCAACATAGGAAGGGAGGGAGGAAGGCAGGGAGAAGTGAGGAGGGAAGGAAGGAAGGAGGTAGGAAGTTATTGATGAAGAAAAAGGAAGGAAGAAAGAATGATTTTAGGAAGGAAGGAAGGAAGGACGGAAGGACGGATGGAAGGAAGGAAGGAAGGAAGGAAGGAAGGAAGGAAGCAGGAATTAGGAGACGAAGGAAGACTGATGAGGGAGGGAGAAAGGAAAGGAAGGGAAAAGAAAGGAAAAGAAGGAAATGGCAGGGAGGGAGGAATGAAGGAAGTAAGGAGGGAGGGAGGGAATGCCGATCTTGATAAGGCAAGCAGGGAAAAAGGAAAATAGCCGACATGTATATGAATCAATATTGAGGGACTTCTACAACACCCTGGCCAGGCAGGTTTAAATAAATGTTCTTGTACCAAAACCCAAATCCTGTTGAACTGTGATATCCTCTCCCCTCATCCCCCCCCCCCAGGACCCTTCTCACTCTCTTACAGGCACCCCTCGCCCTTATCTGATCCCAAGCTTTGAGTTCCTCATCAGAACCATTAGAACAGGGGTGTGAAACTCAAAGGCTTGCAGGAGGTCGTCGCAGCCGGAAACGGAGCCCGTTTTCTCTGGCGCATCGCTCGGGCCACCTCAGTGCCCCTGACACGGGTGACGTCAAGCTGGCCGCGCCCACTCCACCCATCCCGCCCGCCCTGATGCGGCCCTCAATGAAATCGAGCGTGACACCCCCTGAATTAAGAGCATCCCAGAAGTGACATGTGGAGCGGAGCTGGAGAAACCTACAGGAATACGGGAATTCGCTTCTCCGCCTTGAGTCGTTACCCAGTGGCACTTAAAAGGCAAACCTTGGTGCCATCCTCTGCCTTCCCACCTGACTTTGTCCCACGGAGGAGGTGGGGACTTTAAGATTTCGCTTAGTGCAGTGTTTCTCAACCTTGGCAACTTGAAGATGTCCGGACTTCANAAAATAAATAAAAACTTGACAGCTTTAAAAAAAAGGACTCCAGGCATATTGTGTGGAAGTTCCCCAGCATTTATTTTACAGACAAACACTAGGTTAGACTAAAGGTTCCCCTTGCACATCTGTGCTAGTCGTTCCTGACTCTAGGGGGCGGTGCTCATCTCTGTTTCAAAGCCGAAGAGCCAGCGCTGTCCGAAGACGTCTCTGTGGTCATGTGGCCGGCATGATTAACCCCAAAGGTGCACGGAGCGCTGCTACCTTCCCACCAAAGGTGGTTCCTATTTTTTCTACTTGCATGTTTACGTGCTTTCGAACTGCTAGGATGGCAGAAGCTGGGACAACTAATGGGAGCTCACTCCATTACGTGGCGCTAGGGATTCGAACCGCTGAACTGCCGACCTTTCTGATCGGCAAGCTCAGCGTCTTAGCCATGAAGCCACTGCTTCCCTAACACTTTCCCCTAGAATATCCATTTTCGACCCTCGCCTTAAATATATAGATAGTTCTCGGCTAGCCTCTCGTTACGGGTAGTCCTCGACTTACGTCAGTCTGTTTAGTGACCATTCAACGATACACATAGCACTGAAACAAGGGACTTAGGACCATTTCTCACAGTTACGACCTTTGCAGCACCCCCAGATGAGGGAGGCAGCATCAAAATTCAGACTTACGGCTGCTGCAACATCCCGGCGTCGCGCAATCATCTTTTATGACCACTTGACGAGCGAAGTCAATGGGGAAGCCGGATTCACTTCACAATCAGGTGACTCACTTAACAACTGCAGTGATTCACTTAACAACTGCGGCAAGAAAGGTCGTGAAATGGGGCAAAACGCACTTTAAAAAAACTGTCTCGCATAGCAACAGAAAACTGGGACTCGACCAGTCAAGGATCCCCTATAGACAGGAGTCAGACCTCTGTTTGGGACTCAAATCTTCAAATCCCAAAACTGAAATTTTGGGGTCCTTTGTGGTCATAAGTCGAGGACCTGTAAGTAAGTCGAGGACTTGTAAGTTAAAAAAATGGCAGAGTGTCAAAAGAAGAGAGATTACATCAGCCAATGGGGTGAGGTTTTGCAATTCAGCCCCCCTTGTGCATTTTTAGGCAGAGAGTGTGTTTCCTTCCAGTTAA